AGCTACTATCCTGCTTATCCTGGCACCCTCAGATCATTAGTCCTCACACTAATAGCAGAATAGATCTACAATCAAAGATTAAAATCCACTGAGGGTTTCAATGTTCTGATTCTCACTCAAGAAGCAAATATTTCTGATGAATGTCTTGTCAGAACATAAATCAATTAGAATGATTAATGTTTAGCAACAATATGGTTTCCTGTAGTGCACTACTTATCGCAGCACAAGTCTACTAGTGAAAACCTGCCTCAAAACTGATAACAAACAACTTGGCACGACTGCTGGCTGTGTCTGGCACGAGCCTGAAATGACCCGGCCGGCTACAACTCACACATACAGTGTGTGATGTGTTCATGTTTTGTGAAGTTGCATCAAATCTAACAAGCCTTGCAAAGTATCATTTTTTCTTCAATTATCTTACATAATTGTTTTGCATCATAATAAAATCTAATTTTCGGTAAAGTTGAAAGCAAAGGCTTGAAAATTCAACATATTCAAAAATGATTTTCCTTGATTGTTCTATCCTATAAACAGTTAATTCTGGAGATGCAGTCTAAAATCTCATTCAAAAATTTTCAAATGGTAATTAATAATAAATAATGAAATTCCTAAGGCAGATTCTGAAGGCAACTTGCGTTTGAATCTAATTGGTCTTACTCAGCCAGCCCAAGAACCAATCACAAGAGAGCATGATGCGCACTTGGCACAAGCCTGTGCTTCAAACCCAAAAGTGTAAGGTCGCACACATTAATAGTCACCGTGCTACATGATCGGACGTGCCTCAATTCACGATTCAACCTCCCCAAAAAAGCCAAGACAATATACGAAACAATTTCTAAAGATCTATCTAATTTCTAAACAAAATATAGCTAATATAACAGTGAAAGCCCTTAAAGAAATCTATGGCAATCTCTGATAATAACTGGACTCCTTTCCACTTTGTAGACTAAAGGTAAGTCAGTCATCTAAAACTATATGAAGTGACTCCCTTATTTTATCAGTCTTATGTTTAAAAGATAACTAGGGTAAACACTTTAAGTAGAACACTTCTATCTATTCAGAATCATATCACCTTTCTGAATGACTTCTCATACTTTCATTACCTTGTGGAAAAAAAAGAAAAAACTTCTGGTCTGAAGAATAGGAACGACTAAAATTAACCGTCTGGTCTGGGAGTCTTGGAGTTCCTTTGGCTTCTGTTGGCTACTTTAGAAAGATCATGGACAGAGTTACTATCTAAGACTATCTACCAAGCAACCCTTTACTCAATCCAAGAATATGTACCTGAATTTCATATACTGACTTTCAGACTTGCTGCTACAGTTCTAATCATGCATTTGGAAAATAGAACATTCAGTAGAGGAAATAGATTGAAAAAAGCTGCCTCGTAATTCACTAAAAGTTTTAAAATCAAAGCTAAACCACTGAAAAAACAACATTTTTAACCCAAGATTATTGAACTTACATCAGAACTAAAGCAATACCATCTGTATGGCTACTTCTAAGGAATAAAATGCCCCAAAATATCTGACAATGGAAAATTGTCAAATTTTCCGGCTGGCGGTTCCTTAGCAGCCGCTCTAAAAATACCTGCAGCGACTTCAGTGTGACCCGCCTTCAGCATACGATCACATGACACACCAAATCCAGACATAGCTGAGAATATCATGCGCAATGCCCTGCCCTACCTTAATGCGCACCACACCCATGGGCTGCTTTCCAAAGAAGGATGGCAGCAACAAAGCAATATATCTATACAGACAAGGTAATACAACAAGAAAAAGCCCTGTCCCATGAGTGACAGCGCTCCATCTCACACTGCATACCTCGATCAAACAGGGTGAGGCAAATGTCAAAAAAACAGATTCCTGACAACTCAGAGTTAAGGAATGTTACAATTAATGATATTCAAAATTATATTTTGTCTCAAGCCTTTTTCATTTCTTAACTTCTACTGAGTAATCTTATCAAACATTTAGAATCTACTATTTTCATTATCAATCAATATTAGCTGTCAATAGAATCATGACAAAGGAATATAACCAATGACATGGTATACAGCACAAGCTAAATATTATGCCAATATCTTCTCAACATAAGAAAACATGAAAACCTTTAAAAAAATAATTTTGACAGAAGCCTACTATTCATCAATACACAATATAAACATCCAAATAAATCCATGTGAATATTGATTGCAAAACAAAACAATGTGCCAACCAAAAACATCTGAATTCCTCCTTTCCCACTTCTCTCTCTATCACAACATCCTACCATCCTAACAGCAATTAAATGATATCGCAATCTCCCCGAACTGCCGTCTGTGGTAATAACAATTTCCAACATCCCAGCCCTGGCATCATGGCGCGGAACTTTCTGATCTGACATTCAACCGTAAGTCACTTTCACGACACAGTTCCCTCCACATATTTCAATTTCCTCTTTCCACCTGGAAAACTACAAGCACGCTCACTGTCAACGCTTCTAAAGCCCCATTCCATACAAGTAACTCGAGGCAAAGGATATATTTGGCCAAGTACTCTTCTTCTCCTCGACCTGTTGGTAAACAAACCAGAGAATTCGTATTCGCTTCATATTCTGAAACTTGAACTAGACCATAACAATACCTGAAGTTTAAAAAAAAAAAAAAAACATTCCATATGACCTTATCAATTTGGAAGTTTCTGCACGAAAAGATTTTACAAACTTCAACAAAGACAGAGCTAACAAATTAAACTGATTTTTAAAGTCCTACGAAATCGCTCCAACACTTGGTCAGAATTCCCGCGAAAATAAGAACTCCTGAAACTCTGAGAGCACCCAAGTCACGTGACCCAGCCGCGTCCGAAACCGTGGACGTCCCCGGCATGGTTCCTCTCTCTCCAACAGTGTTCGAGCGTTTCCCTCTGCGCGCAATGGGCCAGTACCGGAAGTGCTAGCTGGTAAATACGCCATGTTTTATGTTCTTGCCTCTACCTCCGTAACGGTAGCCATTCAGAAATGAAGAGGCTTGATAAAAGTGTGAAAATTTAGAAGCCCTCTTGTTCACACACTACTGATGATGTCACCCCAGAAGTATGTTGACGGAGGATCATACCTGATACGTGTTTTATATCCAAAAAAGAAATGTCATGAAATAAGTGAGCTTCAAACTTCCCCTACCATCCACTTAACCGAAAAGCTATGGACATAATGAATCAGCCAAGTAATGTTGACACTTTAACTCTTTCGTCATGATTTATTTACAAATAATACCCGCTTCCCTATCTCTCACTCTGCCTATCTGTGTCTGCGCACCCAAAACTCACGCACTCACTCACTCACGCATATACGAACAGGCGCGCAAAACAAACACACACACACACACACACACACACACACACACACACACACACACACACACTCACACTCACTCACTCACTCACTCACTCACTCACTCACTCACTCACTCACTCACTCACACTCACTCACTCACTCACTCTCACTCTCTCTCTCTCTCTCACACACACACACACACACACACACACACACACACACACACACACACACACACACACACACACACACACTCTCTCTCTCTCTCTCTCTCTCACTCAGCCACACACACACTCACACACACACACACTCACTCTCTCACACACACACACACACACACACACACACACTCTCTCTCTCTCTCTCTCTCTCTCTCTCTCTCTCTCTCTCTCTCTCTCTCTCTCTCTCTCTCTCTCTCTCTCACACACACACACACACACACACACACACACACACACACACACACACACACACACACACACACACACACAACACACAACACACACACACACACACACACACCACACACACACACACACACACACACACACACACACACACACACACACACTCACACTCACACACACTCACACACTCACACTCACACTCACTCACACTCACACTCACTTCACAGACACTCAGGCACATGCACACACAAGCATACACTCGCAAACGTACATGCCCATGCACACATAACGTTTCCCTGCTCGTCTCCCAGCATTGCCCGCACGCGTGCATTGCTGTCTGCGGAGTGTTGGCTCCCCGGCGCGAGGGCAGAAGATTGAGGTTGGTCGGGGCAGCTGAGTCCAGCCACAGTTGGTAAGCAAAGGCTGTGGGTCTCGCTTCAGGTAGCGGCACCTGGTAACACGAGCCATCTGCCAAACTTTACCTCTAGCGCATGTTATGCTGTCGTAGCCTTACCCTGGTGTTTGTGGGATGGTATTTCTTGGAAATGATACCAGGTCGGCTGTGTAGAGTGGTTATCCTGACGAGGTATCTCCTCCAGCCGCGCTGTTCACACGAGCATCACTTTACTACCATAAAAACGTTCTCTCATATCACTGGTATCACACACACACACACGAAGGCCCCCTGTTGCTACGGGATGACGTCACGGGCACCGCTAGAGCGCCATACACTGAACAAACAACATAAAAAACACATCACTGCATGCGTGTATCACAAAACGACACCGACGTTCTAGAATCTTTTCACGGGGATCGCCAATTTTGTTTTGCGCGCTCTGGAATCGCGAACACTGCTTCACCTTCACCGTTTTTAAAGTGGGTGTGTTAGTCAGGGCAAGCGAAGCCTCTTTGCCTGTGCGTTTTATGCATCCTTTGCAATTGCACACCGCGACACTGGGTTCTCCCAACACGGCCTACACAAATTAGAAATCAATATGCCCCTTCGCTCTCTCTCTCCCTCCCACTCACACAACGGTATTTCAAATCTGCCAACGCCATTAAAATCGATATATGCCCGTGAATGTTTTATGGTGTCCCTCCAGCAAGCACTCACACTAACGCTGTGTCAAGTCGTTGTGTCACACTCGCAAAGACACACACAGACAAACACGCACATACAGGCGCGCACACGATACGCCGCCAATGCTTGTTCCTCGACGCCAACTCAAACGCACCCGCACTCTTTCTTACTCTCTTTCTCTTTCCCCCTCTTCGGTAGCTTTAACCCGTGGACTGAACCCGCCGTGGGACGTTAGGAAAGAAAGGTGGGAGATGTGAGTGAACCTGGCCGGGACAGATGACTTGAATTTCGCGCCAAACGAACCCTCAGGAACCAAAATTTCGTCGGGTGTCAGTTCCTCCTTTAATCTGGCCTTCGTCGCCTTCGTCAGGCCTCGCTCTCCTTCGGCGCGAGAGACGAGGACGAACAAGCCGACCCCCGAGCCCGAAAAAAGGGATAAAACAATTCTTGTCAAACGGAAATCAGAGAGAGAGAGAAATATCCGCGTTTATTGCGTCTGTTCCGGCAGGAGAGATCTGGCATCTCCTTTCCAGAATGCTTCGCGTCGCCTCCAACAATGTTTCGCGTCCGTGTGCGTTTCCTCCTGCCTGCGACTCCGCGTTGCCCATGGGAGCAAATCAAAGGCAATTTGCCATAGTCGTTGCCTCCACGAACAGAGACGAAACGGCCATGGCAAAATCCTGCAGACGAAGAAGAAATGAGTGATAATAAACGAAAGCCCGCCAATACGCGCGCGAACCCTGGCCGCCGCCAACTGTTGGCCGACACAAGCCAAGTTTGGCTTCAAATCGATGAGGCAAATGTCCTCACAAGCGGATTTCCGTTTATTTAAAATCATAATAAAGTAGCATGTACTTTGAGCGCTTTAGTTTGAAGCTTTTATGAACCTCGTTGGGGTTTCTGTAATTTTCCTTGAATCTTAAAATCACATGGAATGGGTTCACGAACACTCCCTCAACTCTCATTTCGATGTATAACCGAAATACGCACATAAATATATCGAATACATATCCAAAATGAATAATTACATCAAGGCGACGCCGTTCACTAGCAAACACTGACGCGCCTTAAAGAAATACACTGAAAACACCACAGCGCGACGCCATTTTTCACAGCACTTTGTACCTCCCTCGTCATCATGTCCTATTTTGAAGCAGATATTTAAATTCTATTAGCACACCAATCCATCAGATTGATAAATTTACTCATGTCGGTGTATATAATCAACATAGAGCACCACCGACGAACCAAACTGAGCCTTAAAATAAGCCCAACCAACCAGGATCCACCAAGCTTACCCGTCCAAAGTGATGCGATGCAAGCACCTGCACTTCTTCCTCTATTTTTCCACCTTAATATTCAATCCACCACATCCTTAGATTTCTAACACAATCGCTGTAATATCTAATTGCCTGTAGTCAACAATTATCACTGTTAGACTGAGTGTATCCGCGATAAATCACAAAAATGTCACGACATCACTCACACACAACAAAGAGCAGAGACATTACAAAATGGCTGCCGCGCACACCCCGGGCTTCGGGCGAGACACAAAAAATTATCTTCGCTCTAAACACGCCTGCGATTCGCCACTTAACACTCTGCGCTGGGAGACTCTGTGCGTTACTTCTTCGCTGTTGAGCCCGAGGTGCTGTCCCAAGGCATAAAAGTATATTAATTATATCAATAGGTGCATCCATTAAAACAATGGCCAAAATCGGCTGTATTTAAGCAGCCGCTCCGTTTTCTTTGATGTGGAGACGAGTGACTCGTGATTGGTCGACGCGCCCGACAAGCTGTCAATGGGTCAATGACGTATTTATGACGTCACTGCACAACGCAGGAGATGAGGTGCACGTGGGAACGATATGCCAACAAGACGTAGCACCCAGCCGAGGAACATGTTTTGCTAATTATGTTAATGCAGGCTGTGTTAACTGGCCCGAGGAGTTAATTGGGTCAATGTTCACTCATTTACACCATCTTCTCATCTGACAGCGGGGCGTGCGCGTGGCTTGTGATCTCGTCTATTATTACTCCTTCAAGGGTGTGTAGTTAATGTCGCACCGCGAAAGCACGCAATGGGTTTCTTATGATAGCTTGCCAAGTTTCATGACGCCCGCATTGGCCTTTGCCTGATGCTAACCTAGGGGTAACAAGTTTAGCCTTTGGACGCCGTTGCTTGAGTACACACCTCTGTGTCAGGAACTAGGTTAGATTTACGGGCAAGAGTCTGTGCTACAGCCCAAGAGGGTTTTAAATAAAGACCTGTCTATTGGGGCCAAGCGAGTGATGAGATCCACAGGGGCGGCGAGGGGCTGTGAGAGGGATAGGGGCTAGATTAGGGTGTCCCACCGGATGGTGTTGGCGCCCACAGGTTAAAGCGTCCGAAGTATTGTGAGGCATACGTAGGTGTTGAGGCCCACAGGGTAGTTAGTGCCTCGGGTGACGTGCTCCTCTGAGTGAAGAGGCCCACAGGGCTCCCAGACGCTGCGTGCAGACTCGCTGGATGTTCTTGGCGACAGGTTGAGTGATATCCCTGTCTAAACAAATTCATTAGCCCATGAAGATGGATACGCTAACAGTGATAACATAGATATATATTCTTTGATATTGATGGGGATCATATGTAGAGCTGTAGGCGTCTTGTTTGTTTTATCTTCCAGTACGAATTGTTTCTCACAGAATAGTTATTTTGTTCCACAAATACAATAGTAACTGTATGTTGGAAGACCGTCGATGATTTCCTTGTTTTTTTATGTATTAAATGTTAACACTCCTAACTCTGATGACACGGGTATATTGCATCAGGAGAGCTAAACCATTTATGAATATTTGTGTAGCACCATGGCTTAATTTGATAACTCGTCCGTGTCGATAAAAGTCATTCCATTGTCATACACTACAAAACCACAGATAACCGATGCTCTTCCAGATAGCAAAAGAGAAAACGGAAAAAAACGGCTGAGAAACATTATGTTGGCAGGAATGAGAACGAGGCAAGTGATAATCGATGGTCTGCGGGCGAGGCTGTCACCGTCATCTCAGGCTGTCCCAGAAATGGTATCAGGGAGGAGCGCGAGGCGGAGGGCGGCTGTGAAGGGCTGATTATCCGATTGTCACAGGTGCTGACAGGGAGGACGCCATGATTGAGCCTTAGACTAGGAAGCAGCAAGGAACTGTACGTCGTTACGATGCCTGTCAACGGCCAGTAATGCGATCGTTAGGGCGTCAGTAGTTCTTGTGGCAGTCGCTCATGCATCACACTTCAACGTCAAGAGCTGTTAGGGGTGTCACTTGTCGCCTGATCTGCATCTGCATGTTTTTGTGCAGGGTTTTATGTGTCGCCAATGCAGTTTGACAACACGCCTTATGGATGTTTATGCGGAGGGGGAATGTTTGTGTTCCAGTCTGAGGAAATAATTTACGCACAACAACAGATATCAGATGTATAAATACCAATTCTTCAATCTGCCATTGATGTGTTGGTTATTACTGATGTAATAATTGATCTACAATCCATGAGATTTTATGGAAGTGGGAGTCATGATACCATTGTCAGTCAGATTAGTAAATAAAAGCGTGTTTAGTGTTTGTTTCACTAAGCCGCTACAAGATACGTTATCTCGTGCGATAGCGTCCGATAACAACCCGATAAACTGGCGCAATTCGTCATCTATACAAATAATGTGTGTGAAGGCAAGTTACTAACAACTTTCTATCCACTGATCAGGTTTGATTGCTTTATTTACCCATTTGATTAAAGCTATTGAACTTCAATAATATAATGAACACACTCTGATTTGTAGTATTATGTTTGGTAATGGAAAAATGTGCTGATAAACATTAAGATAGAGTTGGAGCGCCGAAAAAGGGAAGTGTAGTCTAGTACCGTCCAATTGTGATGACACTGCAGGTTTTGTTGATAGTTCCCTAGCAGTGTGATACATGACTTGATTTTGAACTTCATGGCTTGATTGTTGTCACGAGGGATTTGGTTGTGACGTGATGGTCCGATTGTGGCGTGATGGCGTGTGACGTCACAGAGCTGGGCTTCAGGAATGATCGAGTTTCGTGGCCCTCACACGAGGCCGAGCGCGCTTGGCGGAGGTCTCGGGCTCGGTCGTGCAATAATTCAGGCTTCCTCCTTATCAGCGTAATCACCCACGCCGCCAGCATGCAGTGGGGACCAAGGAGGGAGGTTCGAGCGAAGTCATACAAGGGCGCCGTGATGCAGGGTGCCATAACGGTGCGATGATGACGTACTCGTGACGTGGCAATGACGTCACTACTTATCGGTGACGTAACGGGGAGATAATGACGGAGTGGCGGCACATAATAACACTCCGGCCGGGGTGATGTACGCGTGTGCTGCCCGTGACGTCAGCAGGGAACTCCAGGCGTTTCTCAGAGTGCGTGGTGTCAAAGAAGAAACCAGAGAGCTCCCTTCTTTGCTACCAGGAACTCGATGAAGTTGAGAAAGTTGGAGAGGGAATACTCGGGATCCTCGGTGAAGTTAGTCTCGTCTTATGTACTTGCTATTTCTTTCTGCAAGATCGTTAACTATGAGGAAGATTATAAAGTTATTTGCATTATTCCAGTAACTTTAAAATTAAATTGTATTTAGCATACGAGGAAGGTAACGCCAATTTGCTGTTAAGATAAAAGTGGATGTATCTTTACTTCCTGAATACATCATATGTGTGGAATCGAGTTTTGATATTAAATTTAACCGATATAGCGGGGTAATTATAATGCAATTGATTTTGTAGGAGGATTAATGTAGTCTCGACAAAATCGTTACTCCAATTGCAAGTTTTCCTGCTGTCGTAATGATATGATAATTTTGTTGCAAGGGAAAATCCTATGACAACGAAGCAATTATTCTGACAGTTGTATCTGTTCAGAGCGTCACTCAGTATGCGAATGTTCTCATCACAGAGTTGATTTTGCCATAAACACGACAGCATTATTCTGAAACTACCCGGTCCTAATGGCATCGTCTCCGTAACAGGGAAACTTGGGCAATGTGGTCCTTATGAGGTACTATTGAATCGTGTCGTCATCGTGAGGAGCAGAGCCGCTATTGGTGCGCTGGGCCGGTGACGTCATACCCAGGGTCATTACTGCCATCGTAGTGCTTCTGAGACCGAAACTTCAGATGGCACGTTATATTAAACACCAAAGGAAACACACG